AAGCACGTAAAGAAACTAGAGAAAGTGCAAAGGTTTGCAACAAGACTAGTCCAGAGCTAAGAGGTATGTCCTACGAGGAGAGGTTAAGGGAAATCAACCTGACGACACTGGAGGACAGGAGAGATAGGGGGGACATGATAACGACATACAAAATACTGAGAGGAATTGACAAGGTGGACAAAGACAGAATGTTCCAGAGATTGGACACAGTAACAAGGGGACACAGTTGGAAGTTGAAGACACAGATTAATCACAGGGATGTTACGAAGTATTTCTTCAGCCACAGAGTAGTCAGTAAGTGGAATAGTTTGGGAAGCGATGTAGTGGAGGCAGGATCCATACATAGCTTTAAGCAGAGGTATGATAAAGCTCACGGTTCAGGGAGAGTGACCTAGTAGCGATCAGTGAAGAGGCGGGGCCAGGAGCTCGGACTCGACCCCCGCAACCTCAACTAGGTGATTACAACTAGGTGAGTACACACACACACACACACACATACACACACACACACACACACACACACACACACACACTCAACTTTGTCTCTGAAGAAAACGAAACAAGTTTTTACCGGGACAGACGAATCGCTCAGTGTTAGGCTTTATAAAGTCATGACTATAGAAAACTCTACACGGAGCGAAACGTTTTCGTAAAAAAAAAAAAGAATGTTCCTCAAGGTATATACACATCTCAGGCTTTTGTAGGGACATATAACTGACAACACACTGACATGCCTCTCGTTATAGTTTATAGGGTAACTGACACCTTACACCGTATCGAGGCCTACAATGGACGTCAGAGCTCCACCTGTAATAATAACCTCAATCACTTACACTAACAAACACTTATCTAGGTATTGCATATACTGGTAGAAATAAGTGCAGTCTATCTTACAAATGTGTCAAAAAATTTGGATGGCATCCATATCATTATAGAGCTTTTGTTCAAGCTTGTACGAGGCTACAGATATTTTACAGTGAGATAATTAAGTCCCTTATATCCAGTGTTGTAATATCTTAAACTTAACTCTTACTACGTGACACTGTATAATTCTAAAGAACATTTAATGTACAAACTTAAGATAAGAGCAGATAATTGCATCATTATATACACTTCAATTTCTTGTAAAGAAATTGACAAGTAGTTGATAGACTGCGGCCTGGAAGTTGCGGCCTGTAGCGCAACCCGCAGCTGGGCCGCAAATGGGCTGAAAGCTGCGGCCTGCAAGCGTGCCTGCTAGCGCGGCCTGCGAGCGCGGGCCCGCGAGTGCGGCCTGTAAACTGCGCCCCGCGAGCGCAGCCCGCAAACTGTAGCCCCAATTGCCCCGTGTAGCCTTTAATGAGCCCCGCAAGTGCAGCCTCAAGCTGCAGCTGCAAGCTCAGCCTGCAAGCTGCGTACTTATTTACAAATAGTGATCAGGGACAAGAAACTAAAAAACAATTAAAACTTGGAGAAAAAAATTTTTTTTTGTAGGTGTTTGGACCAGCACTAAACAGCTTAGTTGTAGAACCAGCACTAAACTAGCAGCTTAGTTGTAGAACCAGCACTAAACTAGCAGCTTAGTTGTAGAACCAGCACTAAACTAGCAGCTTAGTTGTAGAACCACCACTAAACTAGCAGCTTAGTAGTTTAAAAACCCCACAAACTAGCAGCTTAATTTTAGAACCCCTAAACTCAGTTTGTTGTAGAACCACCCCTAAACTGCATTTTGTTGAACCAGCACTAAACTAGCAGCTTAGTTTTAGAACCACACTAAACTAGCAGCTTGTTGTAGAACCCCACTAAAAGCAGCTTATTTAGAACCACACAAACTAGAGCTTAGTTTTAAACCACCCCTAAAAATAGCAGCTTTTGTTGAGAACCAAACACTAAACTAGCAGCTTAGTTGTAGAAACCCCCACTAAAAAGCAGCTTGTTTAGAACCACCACAAACTAGCGCTTAGTTTTAGAACCCCACTAAAAAGCACTTAGTTTAAAAACACTAAACTACAGCTTTTTGTAGAACCACACTAAACTACACTTAGTTGTAGAACCACCCCTAAACAGCACTTAGTTGTAGAACCAGCCTAAAATAGCAGCTATTGTAGAACCAGCACTAAAAAGCGCTTGTTTTAGAACCCCACTAAACTAGCACTTAGTTGTAGAACCACACTAAACTAGCAGCTTATTTAGAACCCCCCAAAAATAGCAGTTTGTTTTAAACCCCGCACTAAACTACACTTAGTTGTAGAACCAGCACTAAACAGCAGCTTATTTTAAACCCCCACAAACTAGCAGCTTAGTTGTGAACCACATAAACTGCAGCTTAGTTGTAGAACCAGCACTAAACTAGCAGTTTTGTTGTAGAACCAGCCTAACTACAGCTTGTTGTAGAACCACCCCCTAAACTAGCAGCTTAGTTGTAGAACCCACTAAACTAGCAGCTTATTGTAAACCGAAACCAAAATAGCGCTTAGTTGTAAACCACACAAACTACGTTTGTTGTGAACCAGCCTAAACAGCAGCTTTGTTGTAGAACCAGCACAAACTACGCTTTGTTGTGAAACCCCACTAAAAAACAGCTTAGTTGTAAACCACACAAACTAGCAGCTTAGTTTAGAACCCGCATAAACTGCAGATTAGTTGTAGAACCCCACTAAAAGGGGAGCTTAGTTTTTAAACCAGCCTAAAATAGCAGCTTAGTTGTAAACCAGCACAAACTACAGTTAGTTGTAAACCACACTAACTAGAGTTATTGTAGAACCAACCTAAAAAAGGCCCTTTGTTGTGAACCAGACTAAACAGCACCCTTTGTTTAAACCAACTAAACACACTTAGTTGTAGGACCACCAATAAACACAGCTTTTTTGTAGACCACCCCTAAACTCAGCTTAGTTTAGACCCATAAACTAGCGCTTAGTTGTAGAACCACACTAAACTAGCAGCTTATTGTAAACCAGCACTAAACTACACTTAGTTGTAGGAACCCCACTAAAATAGCATTTGTTTTAGACCAACTAAACAGCAGCTTAGTTGTAGAACCGCACTAACTAGCGCTTAGTTGTAGAAAACCCACTAAACTACAGCTTAGTTGTAGCCACCACCAAACTGCGCTTAGTTTTAGGGCCACCATAAAATACAGCTTAGTTGTGAACCATAAACTACAGCTTTTTTAGGGGCCACCCCTAAACTAGCAGCTAGTTGTAGGACCACCACTAAACTAGCAGCTTATTTTAAACCCAACTAAAATAGCGCTTAGTTGTAGGACCACCCCTAAAAAGCAGCTTAGTTGTAGGACCACCCCAAACTAGGCTTAGTGTAGCCAACTAAAAGCATTAGTTGTAGGACCACCACAAACTAGCACTTGTTGTAGGACCACCATAAAATAGCAGTTGTTTAAGACCACCCCAAACAGCAGCTTAGTTGTGGGCCAAACCCCTAAACTAGCAGCTTAGTTGTAAGACCACCCCTAAACTACAGCTTAGTTGTGGGCCACCCCCCCAAATAGCAGCTTTTGGACCCCCACTAAATAGAGCTTGTTTAGGACCACAACTAAAATACAGCTTAGTTTTAGGACCCAAATAAACTAGCATTGTGTTGGACCAGACTAAAATAGCAGCTTAGTTGTAGGACCCACTAAACTAGCAGCTTGGGTTTTAGGAACCCCCATTAAACAGCAGCTTAGTTGTTGGACCACCCCTAAACTGCACTTAGTTTTTAACCACCACTAAAATAGCAGCTTAGTTTTTAGGACACCTAAACTAGAGTTAGTTTTAGGACCACTCTAAACTACAGTGAGTTTTAAGGGCCAGCACTAAAAATAAAGCTTGTTGTTGGGCCCCACTAAAAATAAGCTTGTTGTAGGAATGTCATTTTTTGGACCACATAAACAAGCTTGTTTGGACCCGCACTAAAATACAGTTTGTTTTAGACCAGACTAAAAAGCACTTAGTTGTAGAAACCCCCCTAAACTAGCAGCTTAGTTGTAGACCAGCACTAAAATAGCATTAGTGTAGGGCCACCCCTAAACAGCAGTTAGTTGTAGGAATTCTTTTTTTGGACCACACTAAAAAAGCTTAGTTGTAGGGCCACCCCTAAACAGCAGCTTAGTTGTTAAGGGCCAGCTAAACTAAAGCTTAGTTGTAGGACCACCACTAAACTAGCAGCTTTGTAGGACCACCTAAAATAGCACTTAGTTGTAGACCACCCTAAAACAGCTTGTTGTAGACCACCTAAACTACAGCTTAGTTTTTAAACCACCCCTAAAACTAGCCTTAGTTTTTTAACCCCCTAAACTACAGTAGTTGTAGAAACCCGCACTAAAAAGACTTTTTAAAACCACACTAAACAGAGCTAGTTGTAGAACCCCCCACTAAAATAGCATAGTTGTAGAACCACCCCTAAACTACAGCTTAGTTTGAACCCAAATAAACTAGCAGCTTGTTTTAGGGCCAGCTTAAACTGCAGCTTTTTTGAGAACCACCCCTAAACACACTTAGTTGTAGAACCAAACTAAACTGCAGCTTTGTTGAAACCACACTAAACTACAGCTTTGTTGAGACCAACACTAAAATAGCAGCTTAGTTTAGAACCGCACAAACTAGACGTTAGTTGAGAACCACCCCTAAACTAGCAGCTTGTTGTAGGGCCACACTAAACTGCAGCTTTAGTTGTAGAAACCCCACAACTAGCAGCTTGTTTTAAACCACACTAAACTAGCAGCTTATTGTAGAAAACCCGCACAACTAGCACTTAGTTTAGAACCAACCCCCTAAACTAGCAGCTTGTTGTAGGGCCCCACTAAAAAAATTGTTGTGAACCACACTAAACGGGAGCTTAGTTAGAAACCCCCTAAACTAGCAGCTTTTGTTTGACCCCACTAAACTACACTTTGTTAAGACCACAACTAAAATAGCAGCTTATTGTAGGGCCAACCCCAAAATAGCAGTTTGTTGAGAACCACACTAAAATAGCAGTTGTTGGGCCACACTAAACTAGCATTAGTTGTAGACCCCCACTAAACTAGCAGCTTAGTTGTAGGACCACCACTAAACTAGCAGCTTAGTTGTAGGACCACCACTAAACTAGCAGCTTAGTTGTAGGACCACCACTAAACTAGCAGCTTAGTTGTAGGACCACCACTAAACTAGCAGCTTAGTTGCAAGACCACCACTAAACTAGCAGCTTAGTTGTAGGACCACTACTAAACTAGCAGCTTAGTTGTAAGACCACCACTAAACTAGCAGCTTAGTTGTACGACCACCACTAAACTAGCAGCTTAGTTGCAAGACCACCACTAAACTAGCAGCTTAGTTGTAGGACCACTACTAAACTAGCAGCTTAGTTGTAAGACCACCACTAAACTAGCAGCAACACTCAACACACGATATTTGAATATTTAAGAATATTTTAAATTTCTTCGAAGAACATTTTCACTGGATCAGTTGTAAGTATCCCGGAGCTTCGTCAGTCTCAAGTGCTATGACTGCGACCTTAAATGACAACATTGCACATTTCGGAGCGTCAGTTGCTCTGAACACTACACCAACTACGTCGAGGAGAAACACAGCGACGCGAAGGAATCTAGCAACTATTGGAGTGTGGAAACACATTCGGATGTTGTTCTCGAGAGTGATGTGGTCTTCGTGAAGGTGTGTGCTCTAGTTATCAACATTCGTCAGCGATCACTGCTACAGGAAGCACAGTGTTTGTGACTACAGTAACCTCTCTTATAAAGCTTCTTATATGGTGCGATGTTCTGGAAAGCGGTTTAAAGAAGTACATTGAATACTGAATATCATGACTCGCGAAATCATAATAACACGAATGCAAACAACCCATGGAATGGGTGAGCACTGAACCCATGGCCAGTGGCTTACGCATTGGCCTGGAGTTTTACGACTCACTTGACTTGAGTTCAATTCCCACCCGTTCCGTGGTTTGAATATCGTTTGCAGAGGCCTTCATTATTTCATTAACACATCGGCCGTTTCCCACCAAAGTAGGGTGGCCCGAAAAATAATAACTTTCACCATCATTCACTCCATCACTGTCTTGCCAAAGGCGCGCTTACACTACAGTTATAAAACTGCATCTGTACTTCCCATCTCCAGGACTCAAATCCGGCCTGCCGGTTTCCCTGAATCCCTTCATAATTACCTTGCTCACACTCCAACAGCACGTCAAGTATTAAAAACCATTTGTCCCCATTCGCTTCTAACACGCTCACGCATGCTTGTTGGAAGTCCATATGACACTGTGTAAGTGCTAGACATAAGGTCCTGCGAGTCTCAGTAGGTAGACACTGTGCCCGGTAGGTAGACACTGCCTCAGTAGGCAGACACTGTGCTTCAGTAGGTAGACACTGTGCCTCAGTAAGTAAACACTGCCCAGTAGGTAGACACTGTTCCTCAGTAAGTAGATTTTGTGCCACTGTATGTGGATACTGTGCCTCAGTAGGTAGATACTGTCTCAGTAGGTAGACAGTCTCACTAGGTAGACACTGTGTCTCAATAGGTAGACACCGTGCTTGTTTGTAGAGGAACTTCAGTCTGGCATTCGCCAGACTGAAGTTCCCTATCAGTTCTCCTGACATGCATGGGTCAAAGGGGATTCCCAGATATTTTACTGAGGAAACTGAAGTGATGGGTTCCCCATTACACAGAAAATTAAAATTATTTGCCCTTCTCAGTTTACTTTTCGTGCCAAAGAGTATGGCTTCTGTTTTCCCGAGGTGTAATGATAGTCTGTTGTCTACTAGCTATTTGCTGCAGGACTCCAGTTCCAGTGTTGTTACATTAACTATGTTTTGTGGGTCTTTACCTAACACTAACAATGTTTTGTGGGTCTTTACCTAACACTAACAATGTTTTGTGGGTCTTTACCTGACACTAACAATGTTTTGTGGGTCTTTACCTGACACTAACACAACACTGTTATCCACATACAGTAGGAGTTTGCACTTGACACTGATGGTTATGTCATTTAAAAGTAAAAGACTAAAAAACTAAGCCGAATCTGAATTCATGTGAAAAAGTTAGCGGTTAGCGTTAGCTTCTGCTAATTTTTTCGGCTGTTTAGCGGTTTAGCGTTAGCAGATCTAATTTTTTAGTTAGCGGATTAGCGGTTAGCGAAGCTAACTTTTCAGTTAGCTGTGCCCGCCACTGGTCAATTCTATGATTCACCTCATCTTTCGTAGACCCATCTGCTGACACGTCCACTCCTAAGTATCTGAATACATTCACCTCCTCCAGACTCTCTCCCTCCAATCTGATATCCAATCTTTCGTTACATACCGTTTTTTGTTATCCTCATCACCTTACTTTTTCCTATATTCACTTTTAATTTTCTTTTTTTACATACCCTACCAAACTCATCCACCAACCTCTGCAACTTCTCTGCAGAATCTCCCAGAAGCACAGTGTCATCAACAAAGAGCAACTGTGGAAATATAAACACATATGCAGTATAATGTGATCCTTTATTGACAACATTTCGCCCACACAGTGGGCTTTTTCAAGTCACAAACAATAAAGGATCACATTATACTGCATATGTGTTTATATTTCCATTGTGTCGGTATTTCATACCATTTATTTCCAAAGAGCAACTGTGACAACTCCCACTTTGTGTTAGATTCTTTATCTTTTAACCCCACACCTCTTGTCATCACCCGAGCTTTCACTTCATAATACGCGTTATTTAATTTTGAATGCAATTTTTTTTCAATCGCATTTACAAAAAATCACAATATATATATATAGGAGCTTTATAAGAGAGCTTACTAGTATGGTAAAGATAATCGTTACGGATTCACTAGTTGCTCATACAGCACTTTGTATCCTCGAGGGGTCCCTGTCACCTTAAGTGCGTGGCTGTAACACTTTATTAGTTGCAATAATGTTCCTCACGAGACACTTGGCACTTTTCACAGTGTACTTTGCAACACCAGATGAACCTGCAGTTGCACTTTTCTGTCACTTCCCTCACCATGGTCTGGTAGCCCCGGCCACAACACAGGATCCTGCAACCATCCATACCCCAACTGGTCTTGTTGCACAGCCGACCCTCCGTGCCCAGCACACCAAGCCTGTGTGGGGAGAAGGTGGGAACTGTTGAACTATCCTTTGTGATGAGGTATGATAGGAAGACTATTGTGTGATGAAGTATAACAGGAAAAACCATCTAGAGTGATGGAGATATAATTACTATTTACAACAAGGCGAGGTTTAAGTACTCAGTTACAAGAAGTACAGGTGTTGACGTACTCTTCATTACGAGTACAGTAGTCAGGAGACTCCTCCAGGTAGACCAGGTCTCGCCTACTCGCTCTCTTGAAGCCTCGCTTCAGTGGCCGCAGTTTCTTCCTCTTCCGTTTCTTTACAAATCTGACGATAAAGTAATACGTAAGCAGAAACGAAGCTATTATATAAAGAATATTAAATATTATATTACCAGGTATCTCCAGAAAGATAATAAATATAATGATTGAAGCTTTTTATATGATACCTATAGAACGCCTCTGCTGGACGGCTTCAAACTTTTAACTCTGGTGTATATTACTTAAGAGGGGTGTTCAAATTATTAAAAAAAAATTAGATGTTGATTTATTAATTTTAGCTTAAAAACTAGGAGGTATTTTTTCTGTGTAATAACTTAAGAATGCGTCTTCAGAACGGCTTCAAACTTTAAATGCTGAAGCAGATAACCCAGAAACATAGGTTAAATAGTTTTTGGCTGTGTAAGTGCCAAAAGGCAAATGTTTTAACAATTAGAAAAAAGTGTAGAATTGTTGATTTGAGTGTAATACGTGAAGCAGAGTGAGGAATGTGCTTGATTCTAAGAACATTACTGAGTGATTATTAAACACGTATATAAATCTCAACAGTGAAGTATAATAAAACAATATTTGTTCTTAAGAGTGAGGTGGTGCGGAGGAAGGAGTGTTACCTGACGATGGAGGCGCCCTCGAAGCGCTGCAGGAGGGAGTCACCAATGTTCCTGAAGGGTGCCATCCTGCGCCAGCACACCCTCATGGAGCAGGAACCTGATACTCCGTGGCACTTACACACCAGCTCCATCTCTGACCTGATGGCCTGGTACCCACCAGGGCAACACATACACTTGTTTACAATGTAAGAACGTGAATGCATTACTGATAACATTTTCACATGAGAAATCCAAAATCCGCATGGGGTCATACAGCGCTCGAGAAATAATACGCAATTAGGTTTGATCCGAGGATGGAAAGGGTAGCTACATTATCTTGGGTCAAGAGCTCTTCCTTATTGCCAAGGCAACCTCCCTTCTCTCGAAGGGACAAGAATGTGTAAACTGTAATTCTGGTTAACTCTTAATAAACCCTTAAATCAGTTTTCAGTATACTTGTAAGACCCGTGTTAGTGGCACTGTGCTATACAGTGATCTCGTACACGTTCTTAAGTACCGCTTATGTGGCACTATTAAATAGTGCCACGTAACCACATACTTGGCCTCCCAACAAGCCAGAAGCTGCTACAACTCTCATGTGTAAATATCCCAGCTGACACACACACACACACACACACACACACACACACAACACACACACACACACACCCCACACACCCCCACACACACACACACACATCTCCTGAAACTGGGCAACTACCTGATGTATGGAAAACGGCAAATATAGTCCCCATTTTTAAGAAAGGAGACAGAAACGAGGCATTAAACTACAGAGCAATGTCACTGACGTGTATAGTATGCAAGGTCATGGATAAGATTAACAGGAGGAGAGTGGTGGAGCACCTGGAACGGAACAAGAATATAAATGACAACCAGCACGGATTCATGGAAGGCAAATCCTGTGTCACAAACCTTCTGGAGTTTAGTGACAAAGTAACAGAAGTAAGACACGAGAGAGAGGGGTGGGTTGATTGCATTTTCCTGGACTGCAAGAAGGCCTTTGAAACAGTTCCTCACAAGAGATTAGTGCAGAAGCTGGAGGATCACGGCGTTATAACGGGGAAGGGCATCTGAATGGATCAGGGGAATACCTGACGGGAGGCAACAACGAAGTCATGGTACGTGTGAAGGTATCACAGTGGGGCCTGTGACGAGTGGGGTCCCACAGGGGTCGGTCCTAGGACCAGTGCTATTTTTGGTATAGGTGAATGACATGACGGAAGGGATAGACACTGAAGTGTCCCTGCTCGCAGATGATGTGAAGTTAATGAGGAGAATTAAATCAGATGAGGATCAGGCAGGACTACAAAGAGACCTGGACAAGCTGGACACCTGGTCCAACAACTGGCTTCTCGAATTCAACCCCGCCAAATGCAAAGTCATGAAGATTGGGGAAGGGCAAAGAAGACCGCAGACAGAGTATAGGCTAGGTGGACAAAGACTGCAAACCTCAATCAAGTAGAAAGATCTTGGGGTGACCATAGCACCGAGCACGTTTCCGAAGGCACACATCAACCAGATAACTGCTGCAGCATATGGGCGCCTGGCAAACCTGAGAATAGCGTTCCGATACCTTAGTAAGGTATCGTTCAAGACACTGCACACTGTGTACGTCAGGCCCATACTGGAGCATGCAGCACCAGTTTGGAACCCACACCTGGTTTACAACAAGGCTAGTTTCGGAGCTCAGGGGAATGTCCTACGAAGAAAGGTTGAGGGAAATCGGCCTGACGACACTGGAGGACAGAAGGGTCAGGGGAGACATGATAACGACATACAAAATACTGCGTGGAATAGATAAGGTGGCAGAGACAAAATTTGTTCCAGAGAGGGGACAGAGAAACAAGGGGTCACAACTGGAAGTTGAAGACTCAGACGAGTCACAGAGATGTTAGGAAGTATTTCTTCAGTCACAGAGTCGTCAGGAAGTGGAATAGCCTAACAAGTGATGTACTGGAGACAGAGAGAGAGAGAGAGAGAGAGAGAGAGAGAGAGAGAGAGAGAGAGGACCTAGTAGCGATTAGTGAAGAGGCAGAGCCAGGAGCTGAGTCTCGACCCCTGCAACCACAATTAGGTGAGTACACAAATAAACAGACTAAGCTGTCTCAAAGTATTATAATGTGTACTCTCAGCTTATGACGCAGCTGCCACAAACTTTCGCTTGTGGCTGCTGGGCTGCGTCAACCAAAACAACTAGTTTCCATCCAGTTCTCTCTCTGAGGGAAGAGTCTGGCTGTGTAAACACACTTTCTGCTTGGCTATTAGTGGACGGTGGATCAAGTCTACAAAACTCATCACGCTGAATCACCCATACGAATTTCTAGCTTTACAAAAACACAATATAAATTTAGCAGTTATTATTATTATTATTATTATTATTATTACTGCATTTCAACCAATAAGTGACGAATCAACAATGAAACGAGAAATGATTCTAAACATGGTACACATGGTAGTTACCACAGTACACATGGTAGTTACCACAGTACACATGGTAGTTACCACAGTACACATGGTAGTTACCACAGTACACATGGTAGTTACCACAGTACACATGGTAGTTACCACAGTACACATGGTAGTTACCACAGTACACATGATAATTACCACAGTACACATGGTGTTACCACAGTACACATGGTAGTTTACCACAGACACTGGTGGGTTACCACAGTACACATGGTAGTTACCACAGTACACATGGTAGTTACCAAGGTACACATGGTAGTTACCACGGTACACATGGTAGTTACCATGGTAAACATGGTAGTTACCATGGTACACATCGTTTACCACAGTACACATGGTAATTAACACAGTACACATGGCAGTTACCACAGTACACATGGTAGTTACCAAGGTACACATGGTAGTTACCATGGTACACATGGTAGTTACCACAGTACACATGGTAATTACCACAGTACACATGGTAGTTACCACAGTACACATGGTAATTACCACAGTACACATGGTAATTACCACAGTACACATGGTAGTTACAACAGTACAAATGACAGTTACCACAGTACACATGATAGTTACCGCAGTACACATGGTAGTTACCATGGTACTACAGAGAGGTAGACTTACCCTCCTTCCAGCCTCGTTGTTGTGGAGGTTCATGAGGCCGTCAGCGGTGTTCCTGGCCTCGCGGGCGTCCACGAACTCCTTACTAAAGTACTCCCCGAACCTTAGGTCCTCCGAACAACCTCCCCACTCCCACCTGTAGACCAGTGAGGGTGAGAACCATGTGGTTAACCAGTGGGGGTGAGAACCATGTGGTTAACCAGTGGGGGTGAGAACCATGTGGTTAACCAGTGGGGGTGAGAACCATGTGGTTAACCAGTGGGGGTGAGGACCATGTGGTTAACCAGTGGGGGTGAGAACCATGTAGTTAACCAGTGGGGGTGAGAACCATGTAGTTAACCAGTGGGGGTGAGAACCATGTGGTTAACCAGCACACACACACACTTCAATGGATCAGAGAATACCTGACAGGGAGGCAACAACAAGTCATGGTACAGGATGAGGTATCACAGTGGGCACCTGTGACGAGTGGGGTCCCACGGGGGTCGGTCCTAGGACCAGTGCTATTTCTGGTATATGTGAATGACATGATGGAAGGGATAGACTCAGAGGTGTCCCTGTTCGCAAAGGATGTGAAGTTAATGAGGAGAATTAAATCAGATGAGGACCAGGCAGGACTTCAAAGAGACCTGGACAGGCTGGTCACGTTGTCCAGCAACTGGCTTCTTGTATTCAACCCTGCCAAATGCAAAGTCATGAAGATCGGAGAAGGGCAAAAAAGACCGCAGACAGAGTATAGGCTAGGTGGCCAAAGACTGCAAACCTCGCTCAAAGAGAAAAATCTTGGGGTAACCATAACACCGAGCATGTCTCCGGAGGCACACATTAACCAGATAACTGCTGCAGCATATGGGCGCCTGGCAAACCTGAGAATAGCGTTCCGATACCTTAGTAAGGAATCGTTCAAGACACTGTACACTGTGTACATCAGGCCCATACTAGAGTATGCAGCTCCAGTTTGGAACCCACACCTGGGCAAACACGTCAAGAAATTAGAGAAAGTGGAAAGGTTTGCAACAAGGCTAGTTCCGGAGCTCAGGAGTATGTCCTACGAAGAAAGGTTGAGGGAAATCAGACTGACGACACTGGAGGACAGGCGGGTCAGGGTAGACATGATAACGACATACAAAATACTGCGTGGAATAGATAAGGTGGACAGAGACAGGTTGTTCCAGAGAGGGGACACAGAAACAAGGGGGTCACAATTGGAAGCTGAAGACTCAGACGAGTCATAGGGATGTTGGGAAGTATTTCTTCAGTCATAGAGTCGTCAGGAAGTGGAATAGCCTAACAAGTGATGTAGTGGAGGCAGGATCCATACATAGCTTCAAGCAGAGGTATAATAAAGCTCACGGTTCAGGGAGAGTGACCTAGTAGCGACCAGTGAAGAGGCGGGGCCAGGAGCTCGGACTCGACCCCCGCAACCTCAACTAGGTGAGTATACACACCACACCACACACACACACACACACACACACACACACACACACACACACACCACCACACACAACACACACACACACACACATACACCCCACATACACACACATACACACACACACACAGCCAGGAGCTGAGTCTCGACCCCTGCAACCACAATTAGGTGAGTACACACACACACACATACACAAACACAGGGGTAACAATACATGCATCAAGGAATACACATCCCAAAATCAGGAGGAGGGAACACCTCACCACCACCATGAACCATGGAGAGGAACACCTCACCACCACCATGAACGATGGAGAGGAACACCTCACCACCACCATGAACGATGGAGAGGAACACCTCACCACCACCATGAACGATGGAGAGGAACACCTCACCACCACCATGAAACCATGGGAGGAACACCTCACCACCCACCAGAACCATGGAGAGGAAACACCCCACCCCACCATGAACCATGGAGAGGAACAACCTCACCATCACCATGAACCATGGAGAGGAACACCTCACCACCACCATGAACCATGGAGAGGAACACCTCACCACCACCATGAACCATGGAGAGGAACACCTCACCACCACCTTTAACATGGAGAGGAACCCCCTCACCACCACCATGAACCATGGAGGGGGAACACCTCACCACCACCTGAACCATGGAGAGGAACACCTCCACCATCCCTGAACAATGGAGAGGAACACCTCACCACCACCATGAACCCTGGAGAGGAAAACCTCACCACCACCATGAACCCATGGAGAGGAAAACCCTCACCACCCATGAAACGATGGAGAGGAACACCTCACCCACCATGAACCATGGGAGGAACACCTCACCACCACCATGAACCTGGGAGAGGAACACCTCACCACCCCCATGAACCATGGAGAGGAACACCTCACCACCACCATGAACCATGGAGAGGAACACCTCACCACCACCTGAACCATGGAGAGGAACACCTCACCATCACCTGAACCTTTGGGGAGGAACACCTCACCACCACCATGAACCATGGAGGGAACACCTCACCACCACCATGAACCATGGAGGAGGAACACCTCACCACCACCATGAACCATGGGAGAGGAACACCTCACCACCACATGAACCATGGAGAGGAACACACTCACCACCCCCATGAACCATGGAGAGGAACACCTCACCATCACATGAACAATGGAGAGGAACACCTCACCACCACCATGAACCATGGAGAGGAAAAACCTCACCACCACCATGAACCATGGAGAGGAACACCTCACCACCACCATGAACGATGGAGAGGAACACCTCACCACCACCATGAACCATGGAGAGGAAACACCTCACCACCACCATGAACCATGGGAGGGGAAAACCTCACCACCACCATGAAAACCCTGGAGAGGAACACCTCACCATCACCATGAAACCATGGAGAGGAACACCTCACCACCACCATGAACCATGGAGAGGAACACCTCACCATCACCCTGAACCATGGAGAGGAAACCTCCACCACCCCATGAACCATTTGGGGAGGAACCACCTCACCACCACCATGAACCATGGAGAGGAACACCTCACCCTCCCATGAACCATGGAAGGAACACCTCACCCACCATGAACGATGGAGAGGAACACCTCACCATCACCATGAACCATGGAGAGGAACACCCCCACCACCACCATGAACCATGGGAGGAACACCTCACCACCACCATGAACCATGGAGAGAACACCTCACCACCACCATGAACCAGGAGAGGAACACCTCACCACCACCATGAAACCCTGGAGAGGAAAACACCTCACCACCACCATGAACCATGGAGAGGGGAAACCTCACCACCCACCATGAACGATGGAGAGGAACACCTCACCATCACCATGAACCATGGAGAGGAACACCTCACCATCACCATGAAACCATGGAGAGGAACACCTCCACCACCATGAACGATGGAGAGGAACACCTCACCATCACCATGAACCATGGAGAGGGAAAACCTCACCACCACCATGAACCATGGAGAGGGAACACCTCACCACCACCCTGAACCATGGAGAGGAACACCTTCACACCACCATGAACCATGGAGAGGAACACCTAACCACCACCCTATGAAAATATGGAGGGAACACCCCCACCATCAAACCCTGGGAACCATGGAGAGGAACACCTCACCATCACCTTTAACCATGGAGAGGAACACCTCACCACCACCATGAACCATGGAGGGAACACCTCACCATCACCATGAACAATGGAGAGAAAACACTCAAACCCCCACCATGAACCATGGAGAGGAACCCCCTCACTTTCCACCATGAACGATGGAGAGGAAACCTCACCATCACCATGAACCTGGAGAGGAACACCTCACCACCACCATGAACCCATGGGGAGGAACACCTCACCACACCCTGAACCATGGAGAGGAACACCTCACCATCACCATGAACAATGGAGAGGAAACACCTCACCACCACCATGAACCATGGAGAGGAACACCTCACTACCACCATGAACGATGGAGAGGAACACCTCACCATCACCATGAACCATGGAGAGGACAACCCCACCACCACCATGAACCATGGAGAGGAACACCTCACCACCACCCTGAACCATGGAGAGGAACACCCTCACCATCACCCTGAACAATGGAGAGGAACACCTCACCACCCCATGAACCATGGAGAGGAACACCCCCCACCACACCATGAACCATGGAGAGGAAAAACCTCACCCACCATGAACCATGGAGAGGAACACCTCACCATTCACCATGAAAAATGGGGAGGAACACCCCCACACCACCATGAACCATGGAGAGGAACAATCCCCCCACCATGAACCAAAGGAGAGGAACAAATCACCATCCCATGAACAATGGAGAGGAAAAACCTCACTACCACCCTGAACGATGGAGGGAACAACCCCACCACCCCAAATGAACCATGGAGAGGAACACCTCACCACCACCATGAACATGGGGGGAAACACCTCACATCACCATGAACGATGGAGAGGAACACCTCACCATCACCATGAACCATGGAGAGGAACACCTCACCACCACCATGAACCATGGAGAGGAACACCTCACCACCACCATGAACCATGGAGAGAAACACCTCACCACCACCATGAACCATGGAGAGGAACACCTCACCACCACCATGAACGATGGAGAGGAACACCTCACCACCACCATGAACCATGGAGAGGAACACCTCACCACCACCATGAACCATGGAGAGGAACACCTCACCATCACCATGAACAATGGAGAGGAACACCTCACTCCACCATGAACCATGGAGAGGAACAATCCACCACCACCATGAACGATGGAGAGGAACACCTCACCATCACCATGAACGATGGAGAGGAACACCTCACCACCACCATGAACCATGGAGAGGAACACCTCACCATCACCATGAACCATGGAGAGGAACACCTCACTACCACCATGAACGATGGAGAGGAACACCTCACCACCACCATGAACCATGGAGAGGAACACCTCACCACCACCATGAACCATGGAGAGGAACACCTCACCACCACCATGAACCATGGAGAGGAACACCTCACCACCACCATGAACCATGGAGAGGAACACCTCACCATCACCATGAACAATGGAGAGGAACACCTCACCACCACCATGAACCATGGAGAGGAACACCTCACTACCACCATGAACCATGGAGAGGAACACCTCACCACCACCATGAACCATGGAGAGGAACACCTCACTACCACCATGAACGATGGAGAGGAAACACCCCACCACAACCATGAACCATGGAGAGGAAACACCTCACCACCACCATGAAACCATGGAGGAACAAACCCCACCACCACCATGAACCATGGAGAGGAACACCTCACCACCACCATGAACCATGGGAGGAACACCTCACCCCCACCCTGAAACCCTGGAGAGGAACACTCACCACCACCATGAACCATGGAGAGGAACACTCACCACCACCATGAACCATGGAGAGGAACACCTCACCACCCCCATGAACCATGGAGAGGAACACCTCAACCACCACCCTGAAACCCTGGAGAGGAACCCTCACCCCCACCATGAACCATGGAGAGAAACACCTCACCACCACCATGAACCATGGAGAGGAACACCTAACCACCACCCTGAATATGGAGGGAAACCTCACCATCACCATGAACGATGGAGAGGAACACCTCACCATCACCATGAACCTGGAGAGGAACACCACCCACCACCATGAACCATGGAGAGGAAACACCTCACCACCACCATGAACCATGGAGAGGGAAAAACCCCACCATCACCATGAACAATGGAGAGGAACACCTCACTACCACCCCTGAACCATGGGGAGGAACACCCCACCACCACCATGAACGATGGGAGGAACACCTCAACCATCACCTGAACGATGAGAGGAACACCTCACTACCACCATGAACCATGGAGAGGAACACCCTCACCACCACCCTGAAAATATGGGGGAACACCTCACCACCACCCTGAACGATGGAGAGGAAAAACCTCACTACCACCATGAACCATGGAGAGGAACCCTCACCATCACCATGAACGATGGAGAGGAAACCCTCACCACCACCATGAACCATGGAGAGGAACACCTCACCATCACCATGGAACAATGGAGAGGAACACCTCCACCACCACCATGAACCATGGAGGGAAACACCTCACTACCACCCTGAAAAACCCTGGAGAGGAACACCTCACCACCACCATGAACCATGGAGAGGAACACCTCCCCTACCACCATGAACGATGGAGAGGAACACCTCACCACCACCCTGAACCATGGAGAGGAACACCTCACCACAAACCCTGAACATGGAGAGGAACACCCCACCACCACCATGAACCATGGAGAGGAAAAACCCCACCACCACCATGACCATGGAGAGGAACACCTCACACCACCATGAACGATGGAGAGGAACAAACCCCACCACCACCATGAACCATGGAGAGGAACACCTCACCACCACCATGAACCATGGAGAGGAACACCTCACCCCCACCATGAACCATGGAGAGGAACAAACCCCAACCCCCACCATGAACCATGGAGAGAAAACACCTCACCACCCCATGAACCATGGAGAGGAACACCTAACCACCACCATGAACTATGGAGGGAACACTCACCATCACCATGAACGATGGAGAGGAACACCTCACCATCCCCCATGAACCATGGAGAGGAACACCTCACCACCACCATGAACCATGGAGAGGAAAAACCTCACCAAACACCATGAACAAAGGAGAGGAACACCTCACCACCACCATGAACCATGGAGAAGAAACCCCCTCACCACCCCCATGAACCATGGGGAGGAACACCTCAAACCCTCACCATGAACAATGGAGAGGAACACCTCACACCACCACATGAACCATGGAGAAGAACACCTCACCACCACCATGAACCCTGGAAAAGAAACACCTCACCACCACCATGAACCATGGAGAGGAAACACCTCACCCCCACCATGAACGATGGAGGCAACACCTCAATACCACCATGAACGATGGAGGGAACACCTCACCACCACCATGAACGATGGAGAGGAACACCTCACCCCCACCATGAACCATGGAGAAAGGAACACCTCACACCACCATGAACCATGGAGAGGAACACCTCACCACCACCCTGAACCATGGAGAGGAAACACCTCAACCCCCACCATGAACCTGGAGAGGAACACCTCACCCCCCCATGAACCATGGAGGGAACACCTCACCACCACCATGAACCATGGAGAGGAACACCTCACCACCACCATGAACCATGGAGAGGAACACCTCACCACCACCATGAACCATGGAGAGGAACACCTCACCATTTACCATGAACAATGGAGAGGAAAACCTCACCACCACCATTTAACCATGGAGAGGAACACCTCACCATCACCATGAACAATGGAGAGGAACACCTCACCACCACCATGAACGATGGAGAGGAACACCTCACCACCACCATGAACCATGGAGAGGAAAAACCTCCCCCACCACCATGAACCAGGAGAGGACACCTCACCCCCACCATGAACCATGGAGAGAAACACCTCACCACCACCATGAACCATGGAGAGGAACACCTAACCACCACCATGAACTATGGAGGGAACACCTCACCATCACCATGAACGATGGAGAGGAACACCTCACCACCACCATGAACCATGGAGAGGAACACCTCACACCACCATGAACGATGGGAGAGGAACACCTCACCACCACCATGAACGATGGAGAGGACACCCCACCCCCACCATGAACCATGGAGAGGAACACCTCACCACCACCATGAACCATGGAGAGGAACACCCCACCCCACCATGAACCATGGAGAGGAACACCTCACCACCACCATGAACGATGGAGAGGAACACCTCACCACCACCATGAACCATGGAGAGGAACACCTCACCACCACCATGAACCATGGAGGGAACACCTCACCACCACCATGAACCATGGAGAGGAACACCTCACCACCACCATGAACCATGGAGGGAAAAACCTCACCATCACCATGAAAGATGGAGGAGGAACACCTCACCACCACCATGAACCATGGAGAGGAACACCTCACCACCACCATGAACCATGGAGGGAACACCTCACCACCACCATGAACCATGGAGAGGAACACCTCACCATCACCATGAACCATGGAGAGGAACACCTCACCACCACCATGAACCATGGAGAGGAACACCTCACCACCACCATGAACCATGGAGAGGAACACCTCACCACCACCTGAACCATGGAGGGAACACCTCACCACACCATGACCATGGAGAGGAAACCCTCACCACACCATGAACCATGGAGAGGAAACACCCCACCACCACCATGAACCATGGAGAGGAACACCTCACCACCACCATGAACCATGGAGAGGAACACCTCACCACCACCATGAACCATGGAGAGGAACACCTCACCACCACCATGAACCATGGAGAGGAAAACCTCACCACCACCATGAACCATGGGGGGAACACCTCACCACCACCTTGAACCATGGAGAGGAACACCTCACCACCACCATGAACCATGGAGAGGAACACCGCAATACAAGACCCTAAACACACTAGTTGTTACAAAATAATAGGCAAAAAAATAATACCTGAGGGAACTAGACATTAAAAACAATGTAAACAGATAAAATCTCAATGAATAGTGAAGGAGACGAAAGAGTATAATAAATCCCAGGAGAAAGGAGGGATGCCAGAGAGCTTTTAATATTCAACTGTTGCAACAACTTGCAAAATGGAAATAAAGAAGAGGTTCTTCTGCTTCAACCAACATCGCTGCCATGTATACTCTGCAAGGTAATGAAGAANCCATATGAAAGGTTAAGTTGGTATACCGTCTGGAATACAAAGATTTTGTTGTAAAAACCAGCATGGGTTGAGAGAGGCAAACTGCTGCTTTAACTCACCTAAGTATATCGAGAAGACAAAGATCAGACAGATGAATGAAATGGAGTGTTACAAAGTTCATTTGTTGGAACCACAATCTTCATGAAATATGTCAAGGACCTGCCGGGTCAATGTTAATGTTTGAGGATGACGCAAAGTTTACGAGGAGAATAAAGTGAGAAGAGGATTGTAAGATGTTAAAGAAAGACTTAAACAAGTTACATGAACGGTTCAGCAGGTGGCTACTGGGATTCACTGCTAATGATTATATGTTTATGAGGAGGGAACCAGGAGATAGGAAGGTAGAGGTGGCGTACCACACTAGGTAGTCAAACAGGTGAGTGAAATATAGGCAACAGTTAACTATCTTTATTTCCGAGATACTTAATTGTTGCACATATGTTTTGCTCACCTACCTCTCGGCACTGTCTTCCATTACTCTAATTATATAATCAATTATTTGAATCTGTATGAGAAAATGACCTTGACTTCAACACCACAACAAACCTGATGACTGAGGGACAAACCAATAGAATAGCAACGAAAGCCTAAGCAAAACTAGTATATATAAAAAGAGTTTCCATGAATCTTAAGATGACATCACTATAGACGGTACATGTTACACCAGTACTGGAGTACACAGAGCCTGCATGGAACCTTCATCATATCAAACATATGTACAAAATTCAGAAAGTTCAGATGTTTGGTACAAATCTGGCCCCAGACCCACGTGGGCCGGAGTACGAAGATAGGTTAAGAGCGATGTATATGAGACAGTGACGCACAGGAGTGACGTAGAAGACTCACAGTGACATACCTGCCTCTGGTGGGTCGCTGACGTATGCGTTCATCACAACCACACTCCGTCAATTCTCCTCTGCTGCAGGCGCGGGTGACGCTGTATGCCACCCCGGCGGCCGAGATGGCGTATACGTAGGCTTTCTCCCTGCTCTCTGTACGGTGAAGAGAAGAACCAAGTGCTAGTAACCCAACCTGCTCAAATACCTTAGAATTCACACAGGCCTTCTCTCTCTCTCTCTCTCTCTCTCTCTCACTTACTCACCTGCCTCCCTCTTTTATTACCATTCTCGTGAAAGCCAACACCGCCTTCCACACCACAACATTACCATTATAACACAGCGGTCATTACCATAACACTAATCATGCTGTCTGCCACTACATCACATGGATGATACCCTTCTCCGCAACCCGGATATAACACTCTTTAAATCCCTACTAATCATTATATATAATACAAATTCCTCACTAATCACCAAATATCACACTATATCCTCACTAATCACCAGATAAAACACTCAACATCCACTAAGCATTAATCACCAGTTAACAGTGGTAAAGGCTACGCTAAATGGCTCTTACGCCGCTGCTGCCCACTTGAAGAACTGACCCTCCTGGGTTAACCCTGGAGGGTTATAAACCCAGAAAGATTATTAACCAGAACAACCCAGGTAAGGGAAGCAGGGTGGCTTATTTCCACCGGGAATGGGGGAGGGCGATTATCTCCCTCAGGATGCCACTAACAGAAGTCGACAAACACCTGAGTTATCTACTTTCAGCAAGGAAGGTGTTAAGAGACTTGCTTGCCTGTACGTCCCGGGTTGATTCCGGGTTATGTTCTGGGCCGAACGCGCTACCATTGCTAATGTCAAGTTTTAAATTGCAAATGTCTCATTAAAATAATAATAATAATAATAATAATTATTATTATTATTATTATTATTATTATTATTATTATTATTATTATTATTATTATAAAGAGCAAAGATAAAACCTAAGGTGCTCAGATTTTCGACTGAAAGGCAAAGAATCCTACACAAACATTGAAAGAAAAACAACGAGAATACAGAAAACGTCAATTTCTTTTAGACGCAGATATAAACAGACAGAAAAAGACCAGAGAAGTGAGGACCAGACAGATGACAACATAAGAATGGAGGAACACTGCAGCAGGCCCACTGGTCCAAATTAAGCAGGTCCTTCACAAAATCAACAGAGAAAGACAACAGGAGGCGGACCATTAATACACGGCACTGACGATACACCAGGCGACTCTTAGAACTAACAATATGGAAACTTCCAATATCGGACATAATACAAACATAAGGAAGAATACAATATTAGTTACCATCATTTGGACAGTTCATCAAAATCCCGCGTCACTTAGGAGAGGAACCTCATGATAACCTGACAATGGTCCAGGGTGAATCAAAGCATCGTCTTGAGTGGTTGTGGTGTCACATTTGTTCAATGTGATCTACAACAACTCGTCTTGAGTTGTTTTAGATCACAGGTCCTGTCCCGGATGATGACGTGTCGGTTCTGTGAACCATTCATCTACAATCCTGTCCCGGATGATGACGTGTCCCGGTTCTGTGAACCATTCATCTACAATCCTGTCCCGGATGATGACGTGTCGGTTCTGTGAACCATTCATCTACAATCCTGTCCCGGATGATGACGTGTCGGTTCTGTGAACCATTCATCTACAATCCTGTCCCGGATGATGACGTGTCGGTTCTGTGAACCATTCATCTACACCCTGTCCCGGATGATGACGTGTCGGTTTCTGTGAACCATTCATCTACACTCCTGTCCCGGATGATGACGTGTCGGTTCTGTGAACCATTCATCTACACTCCTGTCCCGGATGATGGGCGTGTCGGTTCTGTGAACCATTCATCTACAATCCTGTCCCGGATGATGACGTGTCGGTTCTGTGAACCATTCATCTACAATCCTGTCCCGGATGATGACGTGTCGGTTCTGTGAACCATTCATCTACACTCCTGTCCCGGATGATGACGTGTCGGTTCTGTGAACCATTCATCTACAATCCTGTCCCGGATGATGACGTGTCGGTTCTGTGAACCATTCATCTACAATCCTGTCCCGGATGATGACGTGTCGGTTCTGTGAACCATTCATCTACAATCCTGTCCCGGATGATGACGTGTCGGTTCTGTGAACCATTCATCTACAATCCTGTCCCGGATGATGACGTGTCGGTTCTGTGAACCATTCATCTACACTCCTGTCCCGGATGATGACGTGTCGTTCTGTGAACCATTCATCTACACTCCGTCCCGGATGATGACGTGTCGGTTCTGTGAACCATTCATCTACACTCCTGTCCCGGATGATGACGTGTCGGTTCTGTGAACCATTCATCTACACTCCTGTCCCGGATGATGACGTGTCGGTTCTGTGAACCATTCATCTACAATCCTGTCCCGGATGATGACGTGTCGGTTCTGTGAACCATTCATCTACAATCCGTCCCGGATGATGACGTGTCGGTTCTGTGAACCATTCATCTACAATCCTGTCCCGGATGATGACGTGTCGGTTCTGTGAACCATTCATCTACAATCCTGTCCCGGATGATGACGTGTCGGTTCTGTGAACCATTCATCTACAATCCTGTCCCGGATGATGACGTGTCGGTTCTGTGAACCATTCATCTACAATCCTGTCCCGGATGATGACGTGTCGGTTCTGTGAACCATTCATCTACAATCCTGTCCCGGATGATGACGTGTCGGTTCTGTGAACCATTCATCTACAATCCTGTCCCGGATGATGACGTGTCGGTTCTGTGAACCATTCATCTACAATCCTGTCCCGGATGATGACGTGTCGGTTCTGTGAACCATTCATCTACAATCCTGTCCCGGATGATGACGTGTCGGTTCTGTGAACCATTCATCTACAATCCTGTCCCGGATGATGACGTGTCGGTTCTGTGAACCATTCATCTACAATCCTGTCCGGATGATGACGTGTCGGTTCTGTGAACCATTCATCTACAATCCTGTCCCGGATGATGACGTGTCGGTTCTGTGAACCATTCATCTACAATCCTGTCCCGGATGATGACGTGTCGGTTCTGTGAACCATTCATCTACAATCCTGTCCCGGATGATGACGTGTCGGTTCTGTGAACCATTCATCTACAATCCTGTCCCGGATGATGACGTGTCGGTTCTGTGAACCATTCATCTACAATCCTGTCCCGGATGATGACGTGTCGGTTCTGTGAACCATTCATCTACAATCCTGTCCCGGATGATGACGTGTCGGTTCTGTGAACCATTCATCTACAATCCTGTCCCGGATGATGACGTGTCGGTTCTGTGAACCATTCATCTACAATCCTGTCCCGGATGATGACGTGTCGGTTCTGTGAACCATTCATCTACAATCCTGTCCGGATGATGACGTGTCGGTTCTGTGAACATTCATCTACAAATCCTGTCCCGGATGATGACGTGTCGGTTCTGTGAACCATTCATCTACAATCCTGTCCCGGATGATGACGTGTCGGTTCTGTGAACCATTCATCTACAATCCTGTCCCGGATGATGACGTGTCGGTTCTGTGAACCATTCATCTACAATCCTGTCCCGGATGATGACGTGTCGGTTCTGTGAACCATTCATCTACAATCCTGTCCCGGATGATGACGTGTCGGTTCTGTGAACCATTCATCTACAATCCTGTCCCGGATGATGACGTGTCGGTTCTGTGAACCATTCATCTACAATCCTGTCCCGGATGATGACGTGTCGTTCTGTGACCCCTTCATCTACAATCCCGTCCCGGATGATGACGTGTCGGTTCTGTGAACCATTCATCTACAATCCTGTCCCGGATGATGACGTGTCGGTTCTGTGAACCATTCATCTACAATCCTGTCCCGGATGATGACGTGTCGGTTCTGTGAACCATTCATCTACAATCCTGTCCCGGATGATGACGTGTCGGTTCTGTGAACCATTCATCTACAATCCTGTCCCGGATGATGACGTGTCGGTTCTGTGAACCATCATCTACAATCCTGTCCCGGATGATGACGTGTCGGTTCTGTGAACCATTCATCTACAATCCTGTCCCGGATGATGACGTGTCGGTTCTGTGAACCATTCATCTACAATCCTGTCCCGGATGATGACGTGTCGGTTCTGTGAACCATTCATCTACAATCCTGTCCCGGAAGATGACGTGTCGGTTCTGTGAACCATTCATCTACAATCCTGTCCCGGATGATGACGTGTCGGTTCTGTGAACCATTCATCTACAATCCTGTCCCGGATGATGACGTGTCGGTTCTGTGAACCATTCATCTACAATCCTGTCCCGGATGATGACGTGTCGGTTCTGTGAACCCATTCATCTACAATCCTGTCCCGGATGATGACGTGTCGGTTCTGTGAACCATTCATCTACAATCCTGTCCCGGATGATGACGTGTCGGTTCTGTGAACCATTCATCTACAATCCTGTCCCGGATGATGACGTGTCGGTTCTGTGAACCATTCATCTACAATCCTGTCCCGGATGATGACGTGTCGGTTCTGTGAACCATTCATCTACAATCCTGTCCCGGATGATGACGTGTCGGTTCTGTGAACCATTCATCTACAATCCTGTCCCGGATGATGACGTGTCGGTTCTGTGAACCATTCATCTACAATCCTGTCCCGGATGATGACGTGTCGGTTCTGTGAACCATTCATCTACAATCCTGTCCCGGATGATGACGTGTTTGGTTCTGTGAACCATTCATCTACAATCCTGTCCCGGATGATGACGTGTCGGTTCTGTGAACCATTCATCTACAATCCTGTCCCGGATGATGACGTGTCGGTTCTGTGAAACCATTCATCTACAATCCTGTCCCGGATGATGACGTGTCGGTTCTGTGAACCATTCATCTACAATCCTGTCCCGGATGATGACGTGTCGGTTCTGTGAACCATTCATCTACAATCCTGTCCCGGATGATGACGTGTCGGTTCTGTGAACCATTCATCTACAATCCTGTCCCGGATGATGACGTGTCGGTTCTGTGAACCATTCATCTACAATCCTGTCCCGGATGATGACGTGTCGGTTCTGTGAACCATTCATCTACAATCCTGTCCCGGATGAT